GTTGAGCTACAGGCGCCGAGCCGACAATTCACTTCTTAATGATCGTGTCTCTCTTACTCTTGAATAGCAATAAAAGACTCAGAGCAGTCCTGAATGTCTTAAGGGTTGCTCCCTCTTTTTAATTTCACAGAGCTCAAGGCCAAGGGGATAAAAAGGGATTGAAACTACTTACTTTTTCCTTTCTAAGGCTGAACACTCCTCATCACATTCCAGCCTTGATAAGCAAATGAAAAAAATAAAGTTAAGTTATAGTTCTTAGCCTCAAGAAAAGAAGTCTTAGTCAAACTGGAAACACAGCTGACTTTTGCTAAAGGACATCTCCCCAGGCCAGGAAGACCCTGTGAGGCCACTTACTCTTCAGGTCCCACAAGCATCCCCTACCTTGGGACTCTCCTTGTCTCCCTGGGACCCCAATCCAGGAATGGCTAAATGAGGCCCCCTTTCAAGTACAGGTGAGCAGGCCTCTGGGTTAAGGGGGTCTAGAAGTCCTCAGGTGGCCCTCAGAGTGTTCCTGGCTGCTCAGCCCCCAATATGCTTCCCAAGTATTCCTCTAATGGCCTCACTTCCCTCTCTAAACACAACCACCACTCTGGTTCTCTGTTCTCCTGTGGCTGGACACATACAGGTCTTCACTTCCTGTATCTACTGTCCAGAGTGAGGTCTAGTCTTAGTTGTATTTTGAGTAGGATTCATTGGGGTTGGAATGGGTTTGGCCTCTTAACATCAAATGTTTGTTGAACACCTACTATGGGTGCAAGGCTCTACTGTGGGGGGTTAATATAAGTGAATGATTCCTGGCCTCTAGTCTAATTGAACAAAGAAGGCATGTATGAGTATATCCATTTTAAAGACAAATTACCTGGCTTGGTGAACTTCCTTCTTGGTAATTAACTTGCTGATCTCCACTGAATCGCCAAGCTGCATGTCTGTTATTTTAGAGGCCATGGAAATAGCAGCTATTCTGAAATAAAAAAAGAAAGAGAAGAAGAGCTATTGCAGTTTCACTAGAACCATACTGGGGATGTGGAAGACCTCTTTCTTTCTTTCTTTCTTTTAAGAAACAGAGTCTCACTTTATTGCCCTTGGTAGAGTGCTGTGTTGTCATAGCTCATAGCAACCTTCAACTCCTGGGTTTAGAAGATTCTCTTGCCTCAGCCTCCTGAGTAGCTGGGACTCTAGGCGCCCGCCACAAGGCCCGGCCATTTTTTTGTTGCAGTTTGGCCAGAGCCAGGTTTGAATCTCCCACTCTTGGTATACAATACTGGCACCCTACCCACTGAGCCACAGGTGCCACCCCAGAAGAGCTTTTTTTAAAACAAATCTACTCATGACAATCTGTGTGGCTATGGAAGCCCATCTATTATGAACTACCTACATGCTGTATCATATCTCGTCAACTAGATCCTAAGAAGCTATATAGGAAACAGTGAGGTAACCCAATTGCTCAGGACCCACTTGAGCATCCAGGCCAATGCCTAGCACTCTGTAGGTACTCAAACATGGCTAATCTGATGTTTGCATACCCTTAAAGTCCTATACCTATGGTGCATCTGTGTATCTAACCACAGATACACACAACCATTGATTCTTTTTTTTTTTTTTTTTGAGACGGAGCCTCAAGCTATCCCCCTGGGTAGAGTGCCATGGCATCACACTCACAGCAACCTCCAACTCCTGGGCTCAAGCAAGTCTCCTGCCTCAGCCTCCCAAGTAGCTGGGACTACAGGCGCCCACCACAACGCCTGGCCATTTTTTGGTTGCAGCCATCATTGTTGTTTGGCGGGTCCAGGCTGGGGATTCGAACCCGCCACCTTAAGTGTATGTGGCTAGCGCCCTAGCCGCTTGAGCCACAGGCACCGAGCCACAACCATTGATTCTCTAACACCTCTACCTCTGTCTGGAGATCCCTGTATGACTTTATAGGTCCTAAGACTTCAGGAGGCTGCAAAGATACCTCACAAAATAATCAGCCTACCTCTGTCACCCATGCTAGAGTGCCAGGGTATCAGCCTAGCTCACAGCAACCTTAAATTCCTGGGTTTAAGCAATTCTCCTGCCTCAGCCTCCCAAGGAGCTAGCTACAGCCACCTTCTACACTGCCAGCTAATTTTTTCTATTTTTAGTAGAGACAGGGTCTCATTCTTGCTCAGGCTGGTCTTGAACTCCCGAGCTCAAGAGATTCTCTTGCCTCAGCCTCCCTGAGTGTTAGGATTATAGGCATGAACCACTGTACCTGGCCAAGAAACTAGATTTAAAAAAATTTATTTAAAAAAACTTTCTAGCCATGGTTCGGCACCCACAGCACAGTGGTTATGGCTCCAGCCATATACACCAAGGCTGGTGGGTTCGAACATGGCCTGTGCCTGGTAAACAATGACAACTACAACCAAAAAATAGCTGGGCATTGTGACAGGTGTTTAAGCCCAAGAGTTTGAGGATGCTGTGAGTTGTGACCCCATGGCACTCTACCAAGGGCAACAGAGTGAGACTCTGTCTCAAAAAACAAACAAAAAAACTCTCCAGCCTCTAGAAAAGCTGAAAGGATCCTACCATAAACATATGTATCCCCTTCACTGGGGTTCACCAGTTGTTAATGTTTAAGTAGCACTAACCTTTGATAAGTACTGGATGCTTCAGAGCAAATTACCATCTCTTTTCTTCGTCCACATTCGCATTGTAGCTCTACCTGAAATCAGATTAACACGCAGCAACTTACAGCACACAGGAACCATGTGAATAAGCAGGTTTCACTTTTAAATCCTCTCTCAGATCAAACTATGGCAGAGAATAGGGTCAGTGAGTGGCAACTCTCTAAGACAGAAGAAATTAACCACATGTGTAAATTAACAGCACAACAGTTGAAAGACTACTTCTGTTCTTAATCCTGGCTGATGGGATAGGCCTAGAATAAAGTTTTTGCCACAGATCCAGAGGTGGACACTTGCCCACGGTCGAAGTAAGGCCTAGACAACTTGATCTGATTCCTTTGCTTTCACTTCTTTAGGGTGGCCTTGCCTGACCCCACAGATTAGGCCAACTCTCTCATCTACATGCTTTCACAGCACCCTCCATAAGGGTATAATAACTCCTCCATGACACTATAGGCATCATTTGTTAACTAAGTGATCATTGAGTATTTGTCCCATAAATTGTGAGGTACCGTATGTCTCTGACTCATTTATTTAGTCTTAGAATCTTAGACAATGTCTTTCACAAAACAGATATTTATATGTGTGTTGAATAAATGGAGTAGATAATCAGTCTCTTGAGAATTTGATCTAAGGGAGGCAGAGACTGCAGTCAGATGGCAGTGGGTACCTGATAAATTAAAAGGCCAGAGCAAGCTGGTGGCAGAAACCTACATGATACATATCACCTACATATCACCTTTTTCTTGCTATCTTAACTTGCAAGTTTCTTGCAACCAATCATCCCTGAATATGAGGTATGCCCAGCGACCACTGCAGACAGTTCTGGACTCATTATCAGTCCCAGAACCACAGTTAATGACCTATCTTGGGCCAGAAATACCTACCTTGGCTTTACAAGCAGTCACAGGGCAGGGTGAGCTGGGGTGGCAGGGTGCCATACATGGGTGGCCACAGTTAGCTCTAGGAGTAGTGCAGGGCTGCTTGCAGGCCTCATCCACAAGACACTCTCCTTTGTGACAGAGTCTCTGACATTTGTGCATCCCACATGGAAGTGTGGCATTGCAGGGTAACCCGCAAGAGATATCAACCAGGTGACAGGGTATATTGCTTCGTAACTAGGAGAGACAGAAACAGCCATATTCTCATTTCCATGTGGGATTTGGGGTAAGTTTTAACTTCCTCTTAAAACATTTGCTTTTTTTTGAGACAGAATCTTACTCTGTTGCTCTGGGTAGAGTGCCCTGGTGTTATTGTTCACAGCAACCTCAAACTCTTGGGCTCAAGTGATTTTCTCTCTCTCTCTCTCTTTTTTTTTTGAGACAGAGCCTCAAGCTATCACCCAGGGTAGAGTGCCATGGCATCACAGCTCACAGCAACCTCCAACTCCTGGGCTCAAGCAAGTCTCCTGCCTCAGCCTCCCAAGTAGTT